TGAGGCTAACAGCAGGACGGGCCTCATTAGCAACGGCTTCTGTGGCGCCCTCTGATAAAGACCATGCAGGAAAAAGGTAAACTGCATCTGTACAAACCAAAAAAAGACATTTCTCTACCATCAAAATTATAGTCTAAAGGAGGATTTCTTTTACTTTTCCTCAAACTATTGTTATTACAATTTGAAATGGTTTGATTACATATAATAAACACCAATATGCAAACAAAAATTCTTAACTTTATCTTATTCTAAGCTGAAAAAAAATAATAGAAAAGGAATTACTCGATTTGGCAACCACCTTTTTTAAATGAATCATCTTCTCACACCAGAACCACCAATATAGAATTGTAAATCATTTTTATTACATTGTAAGTAATAAAAATGAATTATGCTTCGCTCAAAGCGGCTCCCACTGTCCTGTTTAGAAAAAGTTGTGGTCTTAAGGCCGTTCAAAGCCTGGAAGGATGCTGGTTTCATGTTGATTCATTGAAGCCAAACTTGTTGGCTCTTTTTCTTTTTTTTAAAACTATTTTTTAGTCCTGAGTTACAACATGGTTGGTCGACATTGCTTACAAACACAGCTTTGCTGTTATAAAGCTCTGTGCTTCTTTTTCTATTTTAACATGAAGAAACAAAAAACATAGCTGTTTCCAACATTTTAAAGTTTCACAGTAACATCTTTCCAATTTATTCACAATCTGGTGATTAATCTGTTGCGACAATTTTGCACCAAATCCTACGATATCTAGATGTTTATATTTGCCATCCCTTGCCAGTAGGAGCTGTACATGTGTCCATGTTTTGTTCTGCATGGAGCTGTCTGCATAGTTTTACATTTTCATAGGTGCACAGTGTGGAAAATCGGATCTTGCAGTATGAGGACTGTGCTATAATGATGTAGCACTGCTGACTTCATAGACGTGTTAGGCGCAAACCAGGCTTTAGGAGTCGTTCAAGAACCTCAGCAAGGTTAGGTTAGTTTATTGTTAGCCTATAAGAAAATGTTTTTTTTTTTCTTATGTTCTTCAAACAATTGTGAGCCCCTTTAATGTTTCAACATGACAACAAACCTGTCAAACCTGCAAAACATGGTTCATAAACACAAAGATGAGGCACTTTAGGGGGAGGTAGAACTTAATTGGGATCCATAGAGTTCTGAATAGAACAGAACATCTCATGGATAAATTAGAACCTGCAATCCAAGCCAAGCCTTTCTGTCCAACATCTGTATCCAACCTCAGAAATCCACTTTAAAGAAAGTTCATAAAAATCCAATAAACAGACTCTTACACTGTGTGAAAAGCCTTTCCAGAAGCGTCAAAGCTCTTTAAGCGGTAGGGAAGGGTAATGACATTCTTTTAAAACATGTAGATTAATTATTGGACATAAAAAAAAGAGATGTATGTGTGAAGACATAGTAGATCTAAAAACAGCACCACACATGTTTTGACATGGCACTAACACTACAATACTAGCTCGTGACACTTCATTCAGAAATTTCCTTCACTCCTGATCCAGTGGTTTTATGGACTCAATGCCATGAAGCTGATGATTTGTTTTGATTTTAACTGTACTTGACATATTTGAGCATGGTGTGCTCCATTTATTCCACTGAAATAACAGATGTGGAAATTAATGCAGCTGATGGTAATAAACAGCTCAAATCAATCCAGTGTGCACCTCCTAAATCCAGTTATTGTTTTGGCATGCTTTCAGGACAGTGTTTGTTTCTGATACTGACGCCACACATTGCAACGCCAGGCTCACGGCTATTGACTTCATGTCAGCAGGAAGTATCCACAGGGACTCATTTTTAAGATGGATCCTCACTGCGTTGATCCCTGCTGTAGTGATAGACAGCCTAATGTCGGCGCACACCACACACATGCATATCCACAAAGCTTGTAAAACTTGACAGCGTTTTTACCAGCAAAATGTTGCTAGGAAACGAGGAGGCAATTAACATGACGTTCAGGAACTGCCTGCACCTCGGGAGCTTTTTTGTTGTCTATATGAGTGTGTGTGTTTGCTGTTTAGAAACATCAAAGTGCCTGTGGTGGTGTCTTAAATGTTAAAGGTATAGAACGCTTTTCCGTAAAGAACCCTTCTTCCTAAAGTCAAATTTTATTCCTTACATCTTAAGTTAAAGTTTAACCTTTATAGGGAAAGCATAAAAAGTTTTTTTTTTTTTTGCTCCGGAAGGAAATAAAGCATTAGAGAGTTCTGATTCAAGGTAGATTCATGACTTACATACAAAAGGTTTCTGTGATGCTGTAGACTCTTTCTTAAGGAATATCTTGCAACTTTTGCACATTATAAATAAATTTAAATATCATTTAGATAGAACAACCATGAGACTGAATTAAACTTTAGAGGATTTCTAGGGATATGAGACCCTACTATTAGTTTTGCACACCTCAGATCTGACCTTAACGGAAGTGCATTAATAGATAATAGATTAAAGAGAGTTGTTCTGATAAAGCATCCTCTTTTCCCTAAACTTGATAAGGGGTCACAGAAAATAAACAAAACGTTTTTGAATATCCGAAGGCTAACACCAACTACAAGGAGGCATCAGCTGCGTTTCCATTACAAATATGCACAAAACTATGTTTATAATCTGCTAATTTTGAAAATGCAATTTTTGCAATTGAAGTATTTCCATTAAATAACAAATACATTTAATTTTGCACATTAATACAATTCTTCATGCTATAACTCTTGAAAACAACATGGCAGCGGTGGATGAAAACACATTGGATATATCTATATTTCAGCCACAGCTCTCATCCGTCAACTCCTTCTGGTCATCTTCTTCATCTTTTTACAAGATAGTAAGATCCAGTGTCACTACCAAATTCATATTGGTAGCACGATCCATACCATCGGCTTATTTGTGCCTGTAAAACCAGATATACATCTGGGTCGCCCTTAATTTTTACCTTTTAAAAAATACCTAAATTACGTTTTTCCTTGCCTAAAAGTTGTAAGCTTACTAAACTATAATCTGTTAAATGTTAATAATGTATTTTCTGAGAAAATTAATGCATTTAAATCCTGTCTTTTTTATCACTCGTCTGTGCCAGAAATGGTATCCTATGTTACTTCCGGGAGCTAACTTTTACAGCTTGGGATTTAAATAAAAATCTAGTCTTTTTGAATTTTATTTTTTCATTTCGTCCTAACTTTATGGTATATAGAGTGTAATCTGAAGGAAAAAAACCCACTAAAATGCAGATAAACATGGTTTAATTATATTTTGCCGGACTTCTCTGAGCATGTCCAATGATGACGTCCGACAAACGGTTTAAAGGAGAAAATGTAAAAAGCATCAAATTGTCTCAAAAAGTAATAAAAAATGTTTTAGAGATGCAGCGTAGCATTATTTATTGATTTAAGGATAACATAAGTACTTTTAATATTATAATTCAATTGTATGGCAACCTGGATGAATATCTGCTTGCATATGCGCAAATTAGCCAACGGTCATGCTTCCGGTACGGATTGGGTAGTAAACTCCAGTTTCAGATCGCGTGACTTATCTGATGCAGGGGAAAAAAGATGAATTCTGATACAATCAAAAAAACCACCTCATTGAAACGTACTTATAATTTGCACAATTTGATGGTTAATGGAAACGTAGCATCAGTGACAATGGTACTATCGCAAGTACCATCTATGCAAGATGGGCTTTTTCAGCCCATCTTGCATAAATGGATCCTTGAACCCCTGTCGGCCTAGGCAGATGGACGCTCACACTGAGCCTGGTTATGCTGGAGGTTTCTTCATGTTAAAAGGGAGTTTTTCTTCTCCACTGCACTGTCGCTACAAGCATGCTTAGTGTGAGGGATTGCATTCGAGTCAAAGAGTAGATGCAATCAACTGGCTTTCCTTAGATAGAAAACTTTAAATCAGTTTGACTGTATGATCTGATGAACTGTAAAGTGTCTTGAGATGACATGTGTTGTGAATTGGCACTATATAAATAAAGTGAATTGAATAGAATTGAACTTCGGTTATGCACCACTTTGTGGTTGTAAATCACACATATAAAAATATAAAATACACTAAACTTTAAAGTTATGTGACAAAATGTTAAAAAGTTTTAGAGGCAGACAGATAAGTGTTTAAATTGATATAAGCGCTAGTTTTAAAACTGGCTGTGGAATCATTTTAAAACAAGAAAACGTAAAATAGAGATAAAAAGGGAGCATGGATGCCATATGACGCTCAGGGTTTGATTCTCTGCTTTCTTTGTCATCTGTCCCTTTTGTGTTTGCTAGATGCCCTCATTTAGTTTCAGTTTCAGCTCATCAGAAATAACTCCAGAGACTGGATGTCTGTGAAGGGAGAGACAGCTCATACGTGACCACAAAAATACCTCCTGCAGTCAGTAGACTAAACAGTGAAGTACCCGTGAGATTCTCCCAGCATTACACTCATATTGTGCATTGGTGGCCTTTGGCTGAAATGCACTGCAACCTTATAGTTGGTGCGCTGGATTATGCATATTTTCTAGAGTGTTCAAAGGCGGCAACTGTTTCTTTTTCCCATGAAGGATAATGAAGACGTGTTGCTGGTTCAGCCCATCTTTTATTTCAGGGTCAATACTCCCTCACTAGAAACAAATTATGCACCACGGTTGCCAGCAGCGACGTTGTCCAGCAGCCTGTAATAAGCAGCCCCGACAGGAAGTGCTGGAATATTCTGGGGAAGCTCTCCCGATGCAGGATTTTTAAAGCTGCTGGTTATTTCCCATTGGCAGCCCCACAGTAAAGCCTCGCTGATGGGAAATGTGGGGAATTCTGCATCAGTTGCTCCTTAAATTTCATTTTCCTTTATTGGTAGGATAGAAAGGTTTTCCCGGCTGAAAAGGCGGTTAAGACTTTTAAGGTCTACAGTTTAACATCTGTAAACTGCTTTGACTGCCAAACTTTGGATTTGGATCATAAATAGGAACATTAAGGGAAATATGTTGTCTTCCTACCTTTTTTTTCCAGAATTTGACTGGAACTTCAGTCAGGACTTGTCCTCCATCCTGGTGAAACAGGAGGAGCCTGATGTTGGCCAAAGGTTAGATCCTCAGCCTCTAGAAAACCTGCCTCTCATATTAAGCCCTGCCCCTCCTCATACAGGGTCACCGTGGAAACACACAGTAAGCATCCATCCGGTCAGCATTATCTGCCTCTGTAACAAAAACAAATTATTTTTTTTAATAATCCTCTGCTTTTTCGCTCTTGTTTTTTTTTAGGATCAGCGTCTAGATGATGTGAAGTCAGTCGCTATAAAGGATGAACCCAGAGAAAATGGACAGTACCTCAGCCTGCCCAGCGGTAATCAACACCACACAAAACTACATGTTCACATACTTTGCATAAAAACAGTCCTTCCTCCCTCCTTGCAAGGTGTACCAAAATACTAGCTTAATTTTCAGGTCAAATTACAGCACCTTGCACCAATCGATGCTCCATGCAGGCTCCTCTTTTTTTAATAAGGCTAAGGGTTGGAGTTGTCGCTGACAGGTTCATGTGACTCAAAGTCTGGGATCCCCTAAAGCGTTAAAGCTAACCATACATGCTGAAGTCAAAGTTTGTCATTGCAGAGGGAAGCAAAAAGAGGAAAAATATGTCTGAGGAGGCCAAAAAGAGAAAGAGAAATGGGAATCATTCCAGAGAAAAAAAAACAAGAGTGGATCTTGTAAAAGAATTTGCTCGATGGTGCTTAATTTTCATGAGTGTATCAGCCCTCTGGCTGACACCTGGGCTCCCTTCTTCAGGGCTCTATCCAGCGCATTGCAGCACAAATGCTGGTTACATTGAAAGTTGTTCAAATGAAACTGAAATTAGGCCGATACACTGACTTTTAATAAGCTTTACAGCAATGGAAACAGTGTTTTTTTTTTTTTTTTTTTTTTACATATTTATTCCGTCATTGGCACATATACGAGAGGAAAGCACGGTTAAAAAGTGAACCCCTTACCCAGTCAGACCATTAACATCGACCCTCCAGCAGACAGTGAGGCAGTAACATTGATTTACAAACTGATGCTACTTTGTTCTCACACATATAGGTGAGTAATAAAGCTTAGCAGTAGTTTTTTTATGCAAGCATGTTACTGCTATATCAGATACAAATTGATTTGTAAAGAAAAATCCTGATTTATAGATCTAGTGCCTCTAGTGGCATAGCATCTGCGGTTTAAGTTTAGCTGTATTTTGTGCTTCCTTGGAAGCATTAACCCAACTGATACAATCCACTGATCCGTTAAAGAAAAAAATTTATTTTTAGATTCAGACTGAGCCAAACAGGGTTAGCCCTACAACAGATTATTTCAGTAGTAATTGATTTGGGTTTCTTTTGCTCCTTTGGTCTTCTAATGTAGTTGTAAACCTGCATCTCTTCTGTAGTCCACATAGCCTTTGTCATTTGGAATTTTTTTTTTTTTGTTCTGCTATTTCTATTCAAACACCCCACTAGAAGGCCACATCCTCTCTCCCTGCTTTTGGTCCACTGGGAAAGGCAGCAAAATGAGTATTCTACCAACATGGGCTGAAATGCCATTCAGAAAAGAAGAGGCCGAGAACTTATCCGGAGCTCTAATTCAGCAAAATTGACAGATTTTAATTAGACTGATTGTTTTTTTTTTTTTTTTATTGGGAGATAAACAGAGGAAATTGTCAACATGAGAACATAATCAGAACCACATTGGGGTGGCAGCATCGTTTTATGCAAGTGTTTTACTGCAAGTTGGAATGCAGAAAATTAGACAGCATCCTGAGGAAATAATAGTTAGTTAAAAATATTAAAGAGATGTCTCAAGCTCTTAGCCAGGAAGTCAAAACTTGGTTGTAAATAGGTCTAACAAACAGAAACTGAAAGTCTCAAAGCATCACAAAGATTTAATCTTGGTAAATTGGTGAAGCGATAAAAGTTTGAATCTTTAAATCAAGTTTAAATTATTGACTCAGATCTAGACAACATTTATTGTCATTTTGTATACAGAGAAATTTCTAGTACAGCTTTTCAGACAGTAAATGAACATTTCCGTTCCATAAAGTGCAGCAGCGCTTAAATGTAAACAATGTGGGAGAAACTTACAGTTAATTCTTAATATAAAAGTTTTTGAATTTTTCTTTTTTTCATTTATTTTTTTAATAGAAAATAAAAAGGAATTTTTTCTGGTCTAGTGAACCAAAGAAGATGGTAAATTCAGAAAGAGAAAATGAAGAATTTAAGAGCCGGTTTCTAATGTATAGACAGTTTAGAAATTAGAGATGATTAGCAGCTAAGATTATCTCTCAAACTAAATATTAGACATTGACCATTCCACCTATAGAACGTATACATCAGTTGGGTCGGATTCACAGGATGAGAGGGAGAAATTTTTAAAGTGTCTGTAAGCAGGTTTAGGGAACAACTATTGTTATCGATCAGTTAAATTGTAAAATATAGATGTATCGGATATCAGCCGTAGTTCCAGCATCAAGCAACCTTATTAAATGATGGATAAAAACAGTCACTGAGGGATGATACAGATGAATAGAAGTTGAAATGAGGAAAAAGAAGAATTGAGTATTATGGGATGAAAAACGAATGATAAAGAGCTTCAGGAGACTCATTCTGGTAATTTATAAGAATGAGGCATAAAGGATGAGAACAACTGAAAATAAAAATGGATGAAGCAGACACAGCAGCCTTTTTTTTTAAATGAAGCTGACAGCATCCCTGAGTCCAACCTGTTCCGTCCTTTAACTTTACCTCCTGCGATTACTCATTCTCCCCAAACGCTTCCTTCCATTTCAGATGACGCTCTGCAGCTCCCTCCCACCCCTCCCAGCAGTAACCATGGAGACAGTGACGGCTCACTCCCGCCGTCCTCCCCTCACCTTCCTCTCCCTCCGTCCTCACCCCAGCCACAACAGAGGCCAGGAGGTCGTGGATCTTCTTCCTCTTCCTCAACAGCCATCTCTTCCTCCCCTCTCCTCACGGCACCACATGTGAGTCCAGACAGCTTCGTCCCTATCGTCATTAAAACACATTTGGAGAGATCCAATGCAGTTTTTCTTAACATATGAAGCTTTTTAAAATGTTTAATATTTTCCTTGACCTTCTTATGCAGAAGCTGCAGGGCTCAGGACCCCTCATGCTTACTGAGGAGGAGAAGAGGACCCTGGTAGCAGAGGGTTACCCCGTGCCAAACAAACTTCCCCTCACCAAGAGCGAGGAGAAAGCACTGAAGAGAGTCAGACGGAAGATTAAAAACAAGGTGAGATCTGCATGGGGATGATCTTTGGTTGCGATCGATAAAATAAAATGACAAAGTAAAACCGTTATAAAGTTTAAAAAAAAACTTTTTTGTTTGTTTAGATTTCAGCTCAGGAGAGTCGGAGAAAGAAGAAGGAGTATGTGGAATGTCTGGAAAAGAAGTAAGACTTCCTTTTTCCACTGCTTTTAGTTCTCTTTTTACATTACAGGCTATTTCAATTACACTACTTACAAATCATGCGCTTTAATTCTCTGAAAAAGTGCAGCCAGAACTCATGTGTAATTACATTTAAATACATCATCTTTGCCTTCATAGCCAACGACGTTTCAGAGAATTTAATACATAACCTTTCCTGTTAATCCTAGAGCCACTTTTTTGAGATATGCAGGTTTTCCTTCCCTTCATTCCACCCATATATATTTTTTTATTTACAACCATTTGCTTGCTCTTGATGAATAGGTGGAAAAAAGAGTTGTGTAATGGTAATATGAAGTTGGCAGGGATGGCTCAGACAGGAGCTAGTTTTTGTATTTAGAGGCTTTCCCAGCTGCTATAAAGAGAAAGAAGAGAATGAAACTGCATAGAAATCAATCTATGGTGGCTTTATCTTTGTGATTCATTACCGAAGAAGAGTTGATCAGTTCTCGAGGTTTTTTTGTACTTTTTTCTGACCCGTTCTCCTGATGGCTGGACTCCAGTAACCTGCAGAACACATGCGCCAGATTCACAGAATCTGTCTTGGAAAATGAAAGAAAAGATGGATTTGCTTTAACAACCCCTTTCATCACAACATGGAGCAATAATAACACTGAGCAGGTCATGCAGATGGTTGCAGAATGTCCCATTAATCCCATCAGAATAGAGAGACGTGGTATGAATCACAGCGCTGCGTCTCTTATCCCTCTACATTAAAGTTTCTTCTGACTAATAGAATCACTTTGTGAGCTCTTTAGAAATCAGAGCTTTGCATTTACAAGCTGAAATCAGCGCAAATGAATCAAACAATGTCTGGAAGATCAGAGTGATGATGATCTTATGTTGGTAATAAAGATCAACAGGATTAGAACAAAGGGATGACCAGAAATAAGGGGTGATTCATCCTTTTTCATTCTATGATTGTTTATTTCTAAGTTACAATTTGAAAGGGATGACTAAGCATATTCAAAGAGTATTAATAAGAGGGATTTTTCATTCAGAGAAAGTTTATGGTCTGAAAATAATCAGCAGGATCATTTTGGGCCTAGAGACAAAGGGGCTTACTTTGACTGGACCAACTTTTCTCTACTCAATCCGTACCGGAAGGATGATCCGTACCATTGGCTCATTTGCGCATGTGCAAACAGATATCATCCAGGTCACCATAAATAATGTAATTATGGTACTAAAAGTACTTTTTTTATCCTTAAATCAATAAAAATTCCTATAATGCTTCTCTAAATAATTTGGTATGACTTTTATGAGACAATTTGATGTTTTTTCTACATTCTTTCCGTTAAACTGCTTGTCTGACATCATCATTAGACCTGCTCAGAAGAGTCCGGCAAAATATGATTAAACCATGTTTATCTATATTTTAGTTGTTTCTTTCTTTAGATAAGGCACTATATACAATTTTGTTAACACGGAAGGAAAAAATAAAACTCAAAAAGACTAGATTTATGTTGAAATTCAAGATCGGTACAGATCAGGCACTGGGTGATAAAACAGAAAGGATTTTAAGGTATTTATTTCTCAGGAAATACATTATTAACCTTTAACCTTTATAGTTTAGTACGCATACTACTTTTAGGGAGGGAAAAATGTAATTTAGGTATTTTTTATAAAGTAAAATCAGGGGGCGACCCGAATGTATTTCTGATTGCACATGCTCAAATGAGACGATGGTCTGGATCGTGCTTCCGGGATGGGTCGGATAGTGACACTACTCTCCAGCAATTTTGTAAAAAAGCCTAGAGAAAATTGTCACAAATTCATGTAAAAAAAAACAACTTTAAATGACGGTGATGAGAAAGTGTTTTAGCCTGAATGTGATCAGCCTTCCTAACTAATCTCTATGTTGGGTTTAATCTTTTTCTAGATGACCTATTTCTAAGGCAAGAAAAAAGGCCTCATGTTTTTTTTAACCTTGAAAACAATATTATTTTACATTAGAGGAAGTAGCAACACTTTTAGTAATAAGGATGATTTTATTTAATTAACTGGATTAGCCTCAGGTTGTGGTGAAGACTTAAACCTCCAAGGCTTTATTCTACTGCTTAAATATAAACTCCCCTTTCTCTTTAGTGGTCCAAAATTTGTTTTTCTATCTATTTACTGTTTATTGCAGAGATATTTGCTTCCTTTTCGTGATGCTGTAGCTCTGAGGAATGTTTAAATCCTTTTAGAGGGAAACCAAGCAAAGAAATATTACAATAATCCGTCTGTGTGTCCTTTAGGGTGGAGAATTACACGTCAGAAAACAGCGACCTGTGGAGGAAAGTAGAAAACCTGGAGACTGCCAACAGGTGAGCTTTTACGCACCTTGCAGATATTACCACAGTCCATCATGAGGTGTTTGTGTGCAGGCTCAGAAAAACGGTGACTTGGGTTATCTATCCCTCTAATGATGTTTGCACTATCATCAGTGACAGACAGGGGAGATCAAGTGAGAGATGGATAATGTGTTTTGCCTTTCCCTTCTTTTTTTTGCCAATAAATATGGATTTTGATCAAATGAAAAATGTCGTCCAAATAGTGGGAACTTAGATTAAAAATAAAAACAGAAAGATGACAAAATTAACAGCAAAAATGACATTCATAAGGTTGGAGGGTAAGGTTCCCCCACAGAATCATAATCTGCTTTTTTCACATACTGCAGTCAAAGTCCCAGGAGAACTGAGATAATGCCACACATTTCTGTTTTTGATGCTTTCCGTTGCCCTTCTCTGGTTTCCACATTTCCTAAAGCCACTGTATTCTTTTTGATCCAACTGAGCTTTGAGGTTTTTTGACCTTGTTTAACCTGTATGACATTTGTGACATTGTAGATTCGGGCAAATCTACACTAGTAGCTTTTAGAGACGTCCTGATTTATTACAGATCAGCAGACATTTGCTTTATTTTAAAGCACGTCGTCTTGTCTTTCCAATTCTGAAGTGTGACTAAGACAAAAGCCGTCATTTTAGGTGCTGTAAATCATGTCAGAACCTTTTATATCCTTTTATAATACGAGTTTTTGACACCGTGAGGTTTAAAGGAGTATAAACTGAAATTGAGCTCAGATGCGTTAAACCAGGCTGTGCCGTCTACTCTGTTATTATAACGATATGAAACCAATCTACTTTTATCCTGGGCTGGGTGGTTAGGTGGGTGGGTGGGTCTGGAGGAGGTAAAGGGTCCGTCTGCGTCTCGTCTGAGCCTGAGTCTGTCATTAAAGCAGCTTTCATCATGCAAGGCGCCCCCACCTCTTCCCTTCCCACTATACACGCAGATGAATATGTTTAACAACCACACGGAGGAACAATGAGCTGGCACAAAGCGGGGAAACATGAGTCAGCACGCTCACTCTCATTAAAATCCAAACTGTGTGCAGCTTTAAAAAGGGGCTTTAAACTGGATTTAAGCTAAAAATGTCCCAAAATGCACCCATAAGTGGGCTGTTTGGTCCCATGTGCTACTTTTTTTTTCTACAGGTCAAATCTAGGTGGTAGTACTTTATTTGCTATGAGAGGATAGTATTATTTCTCTGTGTAGAAATTAAGTTATTTTATGTCAAGGATTTGTAAAAGATAAAGAAAAGTTATAGAAACCTGTAGATTTTAAAACCAACATTATTAACCCTAAATTCTAAGGTTGCTAAAGAAAGATGCTCATCTTAGTGCTGGATACTTAAGAGGCAATAAGCTTAGCTGTATCTCCCATCAGATGGACGTCAACATCCCTTAAATCCTTTATTAGTTGATAAGATCTGCAGCTTCTGAGCTGTATTTTAATTTTACACCTGAGTGTCAGCTGGAGTGACTTGATTTTTTCCTTTTTTTAAAAGTATTTAAACCCATGTAGGCTTGTTCTCTATCTCCACCTAGTGGTCCTGGTGTCCTAACAGCCGGGGTACAGTTGATACCATCAGAGCCCTGCTCTCCAGATGCATTTTCTCATGATGTTTAGGTGAAAATAAAACAGGAAACCATGAGGTTGAAATGTACTGTACACACTAAACCAGAATCCGTGCTCCAATGGGGCGTTTAGCTCAAATGTACGTGGGAGGGGAGCTCTGACGAGGACGCTGACATATTTACTCCTCTCCAAATTGTTTACTTCTCTTTCTGTCTGTTTTATCCTCAGGTCTCTTTTACAGCAGCTGCACAAGCTCCAGTCTCTGATTTCAGGGAAAGTCATCCCCCGTTCGTGTAAAATGGCGTCAACTCAGACAGGAACATGCCTAATGGTAAAGTATTACTGCTGCTACTGTAAACGACTGTGTGAATTATACCAATATTAAAGCTTTCGGATCATCAGATTTGATTATTAGATAAAGCAAATCATCCAGGTACTGAAAAGAGCCTCAGACCATCATACTGCCAGCATCATGCTTGATGCTCTGTGTACTGGGCATCCAAAACACTTAAACGGCAAAATTTGGACGCTGGTCAAGATACTGTATTCTCTCATTGCAAGCTATATATCAGCTTGGCTTTATTTGCTTCAATGATTTGAGGAAAAAATAAAAGTTTTAAAACATTTTTTAATGAGAAAGTCTACTTAAAAGCGTTATCTGTGCTATGAATCTGCTAAGATATGCAGTGCCAGACCACAGCAGATCAGCAGAACCCATCAGACCAGCATACCCATAATCAATACGCATGCGCAAAACATTGAATTTTGAATTTATCCCTTTAGTTTTGTATGAAAAATAGACTTTAAACACCTAGACGGGCATGTATCCCTTTAGTAATGTGCAAAAAAAACAATTTAAGGTCAGATTTTAATCTCAGAATTCTGATTTTATCTCAGAATTCTGACTATTTTTATTGTCAGAATTCAGTCAGAATTCTGAGATTAAAGTCAGAATTCTGACTTTTTTCCCATACAAAACTGAAATAAATTTAAAAATCAGTTAACTTTTTTTTTCAGTGGCCCTAATCCTCTTCCGTACACACCTGTTGAGGTAGTTTAAAGTATTTAAATACTTACTTTTTGTGTGTTTTGAAGCGTATGGTGATCTGACCTTAAATTGTTTTTTTTTTTTTGCACATTACTAAAGGGATACATGCCCGTCTAGCTATTTTAAAGTATATTTTTCGTACAAAACTGAAGGGATAAACGGGTATTGACTATGGGTATGTTGATCTGACAGAACACCAGCCAGGCTGTTGGGCATTTGACGCTGCTATTCGTGAGGGCTGATAGTCACCAAAAATGCTTTTTGGCTAAAACGACAAGTACTAGAATATAAAGTTGAATAATTTTCGCCAGCAGGTTTTAAAGTTTTTATTTAGTGTAGTGATTCATAAATGGTTTTGCCACAGATCAGGGAGAAAATGAGTAATAATGAGCAGAGCTCTTTTCTTTGTACATTAAAATCCATTCCTCCGGCTTTTTAAAACCTGTGGAGTTTTACCCCTTTAGATTTACAAATTGTTCATATGCAGACTTCTCTGTAGTGTCCGTCTCCCAGAAAAGTCCTGGATTCTATTTTCTTATTGGTTGACGCTCCCCATCAAGCTGCAAAAGTTCAGATTCCTGAACTCCAGTGTTTAGGGCTGGTCCGCTCCGACATCCAGAACCTCTCCACAATTCTTCATGCTGACCACCATTGACTTTGCATGTATATGATATGCTTAGATGCCCAGAACAAGTTTGGTGTGAACGCACCATTGCAAGAAAAATATGTCCCAAAATGTTGTGCCCTTGTCTCTTTAGTCCACAGATGACTTTCTATGGATTGTAAAGGAGTCTTTTGATGAATATGACAGATGTCAGCAGAGGTAGAGGCCACTGAGCCTCTCCATTTTTGTTCAGTTTCTCTTCCTCATAGTTAATTTATGAACTCTGGACATGATTAGGACTGTAGAGTTCTAGATATTCTAGATTAATTTCCTTCTGGATTTGCTGATTTTCCCTTGGAGTGATGTTGGTGGGCTGGTCATTGTGGGAAAGCTACACGGTTTCCAGGGTGACCGATGTTTATAACTGTGTTTCTGATCTGATTTAGGCCCCCTGCCCTGATTATTTAGATCAAAGCAGGATATTTTGTTGTTAAAGATTTCTAGGCCTTCTTCATGTTGCCAACAGGTGTGTCATTAAACTCGATTCAGGTTAATAAATGATTTAACCAGCGGGGAGGTGACTTTGTCACCAGGTTGTTATTGATAGCTGCTTTCATACATCTTTTTAAACAGTCTAGAAAAAGAGTCAGGTCTGAGTTAATGTTCGACTTATTTGTTAATGTACGGGTCTTGGTTCTCTTTCTATGCAGATGATGGCGTTGTGTTTCGTCCTGGTGTTGGGCTCCTTCTCTCCTTGTCTCTCCCCTTTGTCGCTTTTCTCTCAATCCTCCTCTTTGTCCTCCTCATCCTCTCACTCCTCACCTTCCTCCCTTCCTTCGCCATCAGCGGACCTCTACACGACCAGTCAGGGTAGGTAGACATATTAGTTACAGTGCCAGTATATGTTATTGGTATGTGCTGCCAGTTTTCAGTTTACTGGGCTGTTAGATACCCTGATTTCTTTTTATTAAAGTCTTAGAGAGCGACTATGCAGAGTGTACAGGCAGAGGAATATTTTTTGTCAAATCTGAGAAGAACAGCTGGAATTAAGATGCATTTAAGACCGTAATTATGCCCAGTTTCTGAAAAGTTTGCGCCAATTAAAAATGTTTTTACACTCCAGTGATTTGGATTATTAAACAATAAACCAATGGCCAACCTTTACTCCATCCTAGACAGATTAGGGTCAGGAAAAGGGCCGCTAACTCCTCAGAACCCACAAACTTTCATTTTCACTTTTTTTAATTTTACTATTACGTATATTTGGATTTTTATTTAATTTCGAGGCCTAATCAACACAAGCTCATGAAAGTTACGTTGTCATGGCAAAGTCGAGCAAGCTAGTGGTAACGGCAGCATACTAGCAATTTTACATAGTCTAATGACAGAAAAGAGGAGGAAATATGGCACAGAAACGCATTTCGGATTCATCGGCTCATGAGAGACTTTATCTCCATGACCTCCAAACGCACCTCAACATTTGGACACCTGTAACTGTCTCTTTCATATCTATTCATGCAGTTTAACATAACCATAGTATTTAGAGTATTATTTTTATCTTGCGTTCTTTGTGTAATGGATGTAAAGAACTGTTCAATAACGTTTAAATAGTGTAATAATATAATTTTTTCCTTTTGGTTTGCATAAAAAAGATTTTGGAGCTAATAGAGTCACATGTGACATTAAGATAGTGCCTTATGTTCATGCCAGCTGACCAAATCTACATTCCTATTAATGTTATTGTGAAGTCTAATTAATAGTACTCCTATTCACCTGAGAATTGATGATGTCTGTGTGTTACAGACCCTGGTTGTGTGCACTCAAGTGCATATGAGAATAAAGTACTGAATCTCAATCTATTTACTTATTTGTTTTTAATGTATTTTAAATAGGGCTATTGGATCATAGGTGTTTTGTCCAAAAAATACAAACAATTTCTTAAAGCACACCCTGTTCAAAATTACTTCCAGTGGCCCTGCCTGTGAATGTACCAATAATGAGAAAAATACCATTTTATATTTTTAACATGATAATATGCCAGGAGATTTTAAAACAAATCAAAAACACTTTGTAATTTCCAGAACAGTAATTTCCATTACTATATATAATGTAATATTCATATATATTATGATATTGATTTCAGTAAAACCACAATCAGGGAACGTTTCTAGGCATTGTGATAAAAATGAAGAAAATCAACATTTTTCTAAAACTATCATGACAAAATTTGTAGTTGGATTATCTAAATATATATCTGAAATTGTTTCTTGATTTCATCCTGTTAAACCTGGACAGAATACTGCTGTATTATACGTAATTCACGGAGAAGCAAAAAACAAACAAAAAATGCACCATTATTAATTCTGTCAGGGTTTATGACTATTATAATAAATGACTTTTAATGAAAAAATATGTTCATAACACACTGAATTGTTGTATGCTCTTATTGTGTTGTATGCTCTTATTGTGAAGGTCTGATGGAAGGTATCGCCACTCCTCAGTGTACATTGGTTAATGCCTGGCCACCCTTTTAAAAAATGTCTGTCTACGCCTCTGGTTAGCTGTGCTTCTAGCAGCTGCCGGATGTTGTGTTTCTTTCTTTAATTTGTACCGAGGACAAAAGTTCTACAAAAATCTTCTTTGCTATTATAAGGTGTATGAAATACGGCTACGTTTTACAATTCTGCTCTAATGAGGTTGATGTAACTAGACTTTACTTTCACTGGTTTCCATTTTATGTTTTGGCGAGTTTGAGATGATGCGTTCAAAGGACAATTAAAAAACAGATATTTAAAAGACATCGTAAGAGAATATTTTTAATTCTGTTTTGAAACTCAAGTTTAAATGTTTAAAGCATTCTAATAATTTAAGTTTGTACCTGTTGTCTTATTACTACTTAAAATTTTTATGCACCCTGAAGAAAAGGAGAGAAATAAGCCTGTGAGGCCTTCACAGATCAGCTTTATTTATACTGTGATTTAGTCAAAGGCCACCTGGGGCTTAATTCCAGTGTATTTGTGTGTTGCAGTCCGTTCCCGCAGCCTGCTCTTCTACGACGAGGAGGCTCCCCTGGAGGAGAGTTTGGTGCCCTCAGAAGGAGAGAGGCTACAATCAGAGATCCACTCTTACACCCAGACACGTCGGCATACAGCTGACACCCACAGCAACCAGACAAACGGGCCCAAATTAGAACAAAGGTACAAACAACTTCTGAACGCTGCTGAGATTTGTATAGGTAACGTGTCAGGCTTTAACCTGCTGCCTTTTTTTTGTTCCTCTCCACAGAGCAACCAATCCAGGCAAAGTCTCAGAGATTTCATAATTTCTTCCTACTCGCCCACTGAAGCCCTTCATCCTCCTGTTCTCACATCAGAAAATCAACCTACGCATCAGCATCCTTCATCGTCCCGTTAATACTTTAAGAATCTGGATGTAAACATGAGCCTTTTGTTGGAACTGTTTTAATGCACTAATCATGTTATGTAGACCAACTAATTATTTTCACCCAATTAGTTTTTTATTTTCCTGCACAGTGTCTTGCAAAAGCACTTTCCCCACATTTTGTCATACTACATACACAAACATGTGCCAAATAATAGAATCCAGTGGAACTTGTCTTTAAATCAGCTAATTAATCAAAGGGAAATTCATCATTTGCAAGGGACTAAAAGAGGCTACTCTTAATAGAACATTTATATCTGATTTAATTTTCTTAATTGAAAAAATAACAAACAGGGCTGTTGGTCAGAAGGCAGGAGGGTGTTTAAAAAAATATATTTTGCCTCCAGATTTTTATGACTAAATCAGCTAATAAAAGATAAAATGTTGATATTTCGCCACCAAAGGGACATTGATGCTTTAGACCAATTGAGATTAGACCTAATAGTGAAGAGCTTATGTTTTATTTAGTCATATATCATTAGTTGTATAGATAAAAAGCAGCAAAATTAGCTTTTATATCTGATTCTCTAAACCAAAAATAATCAGATTGAATTAAAAGCATAGAGATGAAAATATTCTAGCCCCTAAGTGGATAGATATAAAATATATTGAAGCGGTGCCCTTTTTTTTAAAGTGCCTTCCATGTTCTACTGTCTAATATGGCCTATTTCACTGTATACTTGGTGCAAAATGTAACTGCTATACTTATAGGGGGTTATTGTACTTTTTTTTAAGTTCCATTTCCTGAAACCACCATATGACTTGGAGGTAAGGTTCAGGATTGGATACTCATTTCCAGGGCAGTAACCGCCTACTGTGCTCATCAACATTAAAGAAGAAACCCTTGGTAAACAGGTGTTAAATGCTTTAAAACGATTGGGTGGCAGCTTGGTGATCCCACAAAAAGGGTTCTCTTTGCTAACGTTTTACCCCATTTAAAATGGCATTTTTCTTATTTCTTTCCATATTGAAGGGAGAAACTAGCCACTGCCTTACGTCACATTTAGTTAGATCTCAGGAACCAGGAAGTTATATATATATATATATATATATA